GCCCCCCCCCGTCCTGGGAAACTGGCCTGCACAAACCCCTCTTAGAAGAGCGTGTGCCCCCCGTTGCTGGCTCTCTGCAGTACTCCAGCTCCTTCCTTCTCAAATGAAGTCAGCCCTGGGGCGACCAGTTCCCACTGCCCAAGTGCTGTTACTGTGAGCACCACTGAGCCATAACAGCAGAATCCAAGGAGGAATAAAACCTGGGGGGGAATCCGAAGAAGCTGAAAGCACCTTAGCCTTTGACATGCACATGTCTGTCCCTGCAAGCAGCAGACTGAAAAAGGGGGTGCTGAAATGTATTAGAATTGCAACCGATGGGGAAGGAAGTTTAACTCTTTCCTCCCGGGCTGCAGTCCTAGCCAAATTTGCTCCCCCAGTGCTGCTCTGGAGGTCCAGGGGGGGCTCCAGGAGTTTCCCTCCCGACGCACGTAGCAGCTTTCTGTGGATGGTTTGGGTCAGGACTACAGTCCTGGAGGAAAAGGTTAGTCTCACTTACCTGTTTGCCGCAATCCCAGATAATCCCAGTGCTCACACAGTTCCCAGCCCTGCTCTTTGCATTTACAAAAATGTCCATGTTAAATGCAAACATGTGTTCCATTATTTGCTGTATCTGGAAAAACTCAGAGAGGCGTTGCTTGTTTTCCGTTTTAAGTCACCCCACCACCCATGGCTCCAAATCCTGTAATTAAAGACAGGAGGGGGCATACACCTTACTCCAGCACTGCTCCGTTTTTCTTAGCCAGGACCTTCCGACAGAAACGAACATGAGGTTCTAGGGGGATTCACACCTCAGGGACTGAAAAATGGCAAGCTGAAGCATCATTGGGAAACAACCAGGAGGACGGAAACAGATTCTTCTCCAACTATTTTTTAAGGCACGTATTGATATTCCTTCCTCCAGGCATGGGAATTGCCCTGATAGCCAGAAACTAAAAATGAATGCACTTGGTAGAGGGTGTTCCAGGAAAAGCTAAAGAACTGAGGTATTTCCCAGGGGTGGCACCCTCTGAAAGTGGAAGTCTCTCCTTCACACCTATTACCTGCTCACCAGGTCAATCGTTGCTAATTGTGCATCTCTGCAGAGCTGCGACCTCTTAAATCAAATACTCAAGGCCAAAATTCCCATTCAAGCAACAACTGAATCATTTCTACTAGCAGAGATGAAATCATGAATTCATATAACCGTTTGTATAGAGCTCTTCTAGTTTGCCAACTGCTTTACAAACTTTATTGTTTACCCTCACAACAACCCTGTGAGGTAGGCCACTATTCTTACCATCATACAGGTGAAGAACCGAGGCCGACGTGCCCCAAGGCCCAACGGAAATTACACCTTGGTGAGGAGTCTTGGATCCAAGCCTTCCCCGGTACTAGCCCAACCATTTACCTACTAAAAATACATATTTCTTTTCCCTATAGGCATAACTCAAATGTAAAATAAAATCTACATTGGTTAGAATGTATGTTTGCTATAACTTCTCAAACCATTTGCTTTCTAGCCCCATGTTAGCAAGGTGTTCCAGACCCAGAGTTCCCAGTTCAGATGTTTTTCATCCTATTGATTTCCTACACACAGAAAAGTGCAGGAGGAACCGATCCAAAGAGGAACATCAGATACTGGGCTCCATCCTGGCATCTCTAGTTAAAGCGGGGTATCAAATCTTTCCGTTTTGAGGGTCAAAAGTCCCACTTTGGAGAAGCCCTCTGGAGTCCAGCGGAAATAGGGCTGAAGCGAGAGACCTAAAAGGCCTAACTACCAGTGTATTTTAACTCAACATTCCTATTGTTGAAACGAAGGCTTAAGATAACCTTTTCGATTAGGGAAAAACCTGCACAAAAGCCAGGAATCTACCAGCATTCAATGCCCCAACCCTAAAGAATCCAGTTGATACGAAAAACCTTTCTCTGCCCGAGTCCCAGAGAGTTTGGCCCAACACAAGACAACTCCCTCCACCCAGTTTGTTCTGCTTCCTTGCAGCCCTTTGGGGAACCCGGGCAGGGGGGAGCAGGCCATGATCCGGTCCCAGCTTTGCCAGGTCAAAGAGGCACTGGTGAAGCCGCCCAGACTTGCTAGATCCCAGGGTCTGTGGCTGCTCTGCTCAGGCTGCCTTCGAAGGGGTGTGAGTGGGGTGGGGGGCTGGCAGGGGGTGGGGGGGGGCTGGGTACGTAGCAGGAGGTGGCGGGGTGAGGAGAGGTGCGATGGAGGCCTTCAGGAGCATGGCTGGTGTAGAGCACATGATGAGGGTGCCGCTTTTCTCCCGCTCCCATCATCCCCCGTGAGGTCCTCCCATAAGGCTCCTGGGCGAAAGATTCAGGGCAGAGCAAAATAGTGACTTCTTTGCTGAGTGCATAATTAAACGACAGTGTTCGCTTCCACAAGGTGCCGTGACGGCCTGCAGTTTGGAGGGCTTTAAAATTTCAGACAATTCAGGTGAGGAGACCAGGAGCACTTCCAGTTCCTGGGGGCTCTGTGCAGTCTGCCTATCAATGCCCGTTGCTGGAGGGTGCTATGCACCCAAGACCTGTTGGTGGGTTTTCGGTGGGGAGCCGGTTGGCACTGCGAGAACAGAACCTGGCCGGGCCGGAGTGGCGCCGGGAAGGGGGTGAGACATACTTAATGCCTTCCCACGTTAAAGCTTCCCATCATCTCTATGTTGGCTTGGGGGGGGCAGTTTGAGGTTGCCATCGCCCCATTTGGAAGGGGGCCCTCCCCGTTGGGTGAGTCCAAAACAGCCTCCATCCATCTGACAACCTCCAACCCGTTATTTCTTTCTGCTCCATGTCCTGAGCCATGCATGTGTGTATGTGCACACGTGTGTGTGTGTGTCTGTACGAGAGCACAAGTGTGTCTCTGCATGTGGCCGGAAGGCTTACTCTCACAACTTCCTGCAGCTGCTCCTGCCTTTGGCTCCTCTTCTCCACTGTCTCTTCTTCCTTCCGCTATGCATTGGCTTCCCGCTGGGTGCTTTTCCGACTATCCCCTTTCTGCCGTTCGGAGAAACCAGTTTGAAAGTCGAAAGGACAGCTCCCAATCATTCCCAGACTTCCCTGTCACCTACTGTACCCCCGTCCACTGGCCACACAGACTGGGGTCCTTTCTGCAGCCCACTTCCCATGACGAGGGTCATTTCAAAGCAAAGCAAAACAGACCAGACCAGACCAGACCAGACCAGACCAGTCGGGAATAGTTCTGATTGCATTTGAGTAGTTTGAATGCACACACAGGTGCATTAACATGGCACAAGGCTCTGTGAAGTCAAGTGTTGGAGCATCCAGTGATGCTCAATCATCTATTTCAAGAAGGGAAGAAGCAAACCTCAAAAGATTGAGTCACCTGTTCAGAGACATCCATCCCACGGTCCCCCTTATGGCAGGCAGGTATGAAACCCTCGAGACAAAATGCATTTATCTATTTTTCCAACGAAGGGGAACCCAACCCCTAATTTTGATTCGTGGGAGGGGAGCACATCTGGTTCTCAAATGTTTGGAAACGCCTGCCTTAGGTTAGGAACCAGTTCATACACGCGTTTTCAGCGTCGGATGGTCCTTTGCCAAAGATGATGCAAATGCACCCCAGTGAACCTCTAGAAATCAAAAACACCACACCCAACTTTCATGTCACCTCAGAACACCAACACTGGAAACAATTCATGCCTTCTCAGCTGCCAACACTGAATGGTGGAGAAGGGATCTATTCACACGGAGGTAACCACACAGCACCCCAATCCTGCATACACCTTACTGCCTGTCTATATGAGAACCAGCTCTCCATCATGGGTGGGTGTACTTAGAAGGCCAAACTGCCGGCAAAGCACAAATAATTTCCGACTGTCTTCCTTTCTTTTTTCTTTCTCTTCCATTCAAAACCTCTCCTTCCTCATCCAGCCACTTTTCTCCTCGCAGGGGAAAAGATGTGAGTACTCCATATCTTCTTCTCCTAAGGGAGGAAGCTGCAGAAGGAGAGGAGGCAGAAAACTGGCTGGAGGGAAAGGGATTCAGCATGGTTGCCCCAAAACCTTTCTTCTGCTCCCAAGCGTAGCCTCCAGAGCTTTGCAGTTTAGCAGAGGAAATGCTTGCCATGTTGCCCACAGAACTCCCAACGGGCTGTTACGTGTCATAAATGATATATAACTATTGTGTCCGTCAATTATTATTATTCTGCATATTTGGTGTTGCTGGTAAGCTTCTCATGGGCAGGTCAATCACTAAAAGGAGCCACACATTTTAGGAATCACAAACTCCAGCTCAGCCGGCACAAAATTGCTGATGGTTAAAACGTAAATTTAAACATTCGGGCTAGTCATGTGGCCTTTCCTGACGGCATTCCTTGTCTTTGTCAGGGTACCAAAAAGACCTGGGGTTCAGGCCACAAAACCCGCATTCATTAGCATATGCTAATTTGCATGTGCTCTAACGTGAGCTTGTCTTCAAAGGACCCTGTCTCCTAAGAACACCCCTATTGGGGGAGGTGGGGAAGGAATATATGAATGAGAGAGAAAAGGGCATTTGAACAGGAAGAAAAATTTGGGCAGGAAGATTCTGCAGGGCAAGGGGAGCGGAAGGGAAGCTCACGTGGACAAGAAGCCAAGTACCCCAGAAGGTTAACGACGCTCATCACGGCCCCTGGACTCGGAGGCTGGGGGCCTCCCAGAGATCCAGGGCTCCAAATGGAAGATCCGGGGGCCCGGCCTTAATAAGCTCTCTCCTAGCGCTGCCTCTGGGTTACGTGACCCTTGAATGACATGCAGTGCGTGGAAGCTACTTTTAAAACGAACGAACAAACAACACAGTTGTGCATCGGTCAACGTGCATGCTCTGAGTGGCGCGCAGGCATGAGCCTTCCTTTGGGGGCAGGCCGTGCCCCGATGAACGCAGCGGGGGGCAGTGATGCAGCGGAAACACGTTCTCCCTGCACACCTCCCTTTGCAAACGGAAACCAAACAGGAGGAAAGGTGGGGGGAGTCGCCGGAGATCATGACGCTACGGCACTGCAGTCTGGCTCAAAATTCATCTTCGGAGCTATCCGCTAGAAGCATCACTCGGTCTTGCATGCTGTTGAACTCCCTCTGCTCGCGTGGAGAGAGGCGAAGAGGGGAGCAGGGAAGGCAAGGCAGAGAAGGGGGGAAGGGGAGAGAGAGGGGGAGAGAGAGAGAGAGAGAGAGAGAATCAGCCGCAAGGTATAAAGCCTCATTTCCTTGCTCCTTCCCAAGTACACTGGTGCATTTCATCTCAGCTGGAGGCAGGTTAGCAATTGGGGTAAGAGGCAGGAGACAGAGAGGAAAGCAAAACTGCCAGAAATCCACAGGGGATGACATCTCTTACACTGCTTATCTCACCCTGAAGTTTATCAAAAGCAGATTAAGTGACCCATGGGCTGCATTCACACAGCGCAAGAAGCCACTTGCATGGTTACACAGTTCACAGTTTGTCAGCATGATTACCCAACAGACCATCAAGTGGTTTCGGCTTTATCGTGGTTTCCGTCCCTCCCACTCATTCCTCCCACTGTTGGCATGTATCCCATCAGCCCCCGTGCCTGAAATTCAGTCCCAAGGTGCATCTCTCCCTGCCTGTGTCTCCTGTCTCTCCCTCATTGGCCCACACATGGAGGCTGGATGGCTGGAGTGGCTCCTGCAGTTACCGCTCTTTCCAGGGGACTCTGTGGTAGCTGCATGCCAGGACCATGGAAACCACGATCCTGGGTTCAGACAACGCAATAAGCCTTGGTAGTAGGGAGGAACCATAGCACAAAGTGTTGTTTCTGATCATGTTTCTAAAGGCCAAACGTGCCACAGCAAAATACCATAGCTGGGTTCAGACAGCACAACAACGATGAAAAACCACCTTGTTGTGTCTTCTGAACCCAGCTGGGGAAGTTCAGAGGGCACAATTCTATGCATGTTTAGACGGGAAAAAGTCCTTCACCTCCCACATTGGCTGGGGCAAGATAGCAGGTGGAGGGCTTTTTTCTGGCTAAATGCATACAGTGTTGTGCTAATTATGCTTAACTAGTTTGATTTAGGCTGCAGACCTAAACTCACTAAGGACTAAGCAGAACTATATAAAGATGGTCCTACTTTTGAGAAAATCTGCATAGCTTCAAACTGTTATTCAGGTTTCCAAATTTCCCTGAAAGGTTTCAGAATCCTATCAGATTTCAATCTAATAGGATATTCAGTCCTGTCCGATGATCTGGGCTGGAAAGGAACCAGCCCTGGGGTTCTGAGCAGGCCCCAGCAGAACAAATTTGCATCTGTCTGCATTTTAAAGTTTCTGGTCCTTATGGCCGCAAAAGGTTTGCTCAGAAGTGATTGAGGAAAGCCTGCTGAAATCTCCTTGGGAAGAAGTTTTCTAGGGCTCTGAGCCCTAACCATGGTCTCTCTTGTGATTAGCAAGACCAGAGTAACAGCAAATTCCTTCCCGTATCAACTCAGAAGTAAAGTTTAGTGGAAACTCTACGCAAACATTGGCAGCCTAAATCACACAAAGCCATTCTGAAAAATTGCAGAAAGAAATAGGTGGAAAAACAAGATTATGTTTTGCATGTTTGTTCAGGTTGCTCAATTTATAAATATTGCAAGATTTGGGGGCAGGGGGAGTACGCCGAATCCGGACTGCCAGCATGCTTTTTAATGTAGCCTTCCCCAAGTCCTGGTCAACCTGGCAGGGAATTATGTGAAAGTGATTCCAGTGCTTTCTCTTGTCAGGCAAATACACAGCAAAGACGGGCACATAACTCATCCATGCACGATGTGCTGATTTGAACAAAAAGGGGGTCCCGTTGATTTTTCTTTCTTTCTGATTTAGGAAAGAAAAAATAATTTCTTTCTTTCTGATTTAGGAAAGAAAAAATAATTTCTTTCTTTCTGATTTAGGAAAGAGCCCCTCGGCAGCTTTAGGGGAGGGCTCCTTACCTTTCGTTTGTGCCTCTTGAAGCCGTTCCTGCGTCGGCGGTTCATGATCTTGATGCTGTAAAGAGCCCCCAAGATGAAAAGGGCCCCAGCGATGCCAACGCCCACAGGGACCAGCATCCCGGACATGTAACCCGCCTGCAAGGAAGAAAGAGAGCCGAGAAAGGAAAAATACGAGCATGTTCAGGAGGCAGCCAGTTCAGAGCCGACCATTGCCAATCTTGCTGTTAACAATTGATCAAAAGCGCCTTTATTCTGCAGCTTCATTGCATTACTGGAATGTTGACTGTCGCGGAGAGACAGAGGAGGCCGATCAGAAGGGTAAGGGATCCTGTGTGTTTGTAAAATGAAAGCGCAGCAAAACTAAACCGTCTCCCCTTCGAGAGGACTATAGGTGATCAGCTGGTCTGTGCCTTTGAGGAAACAAGTGTTTCCTTCATTATGGCGTTGCAACTTGTGGGCCCAGTAGGTGCAACAAAAATTAGAAACCCAGAAGCAGAGCAAGTCAGAAGGGGTCTCCTGGGCCATCTAGTCTGACCCCCAGCTCCAGCCAGTTCCACTAATGCCATGCCCACCATGTGCATGTCCACCCTGTCCTTAAACACCTTCACCGATGGGGCTTCAACCACCTCCCATAGAGCCCATTCCATGCCCTAGGGGCCCTAACCATCAGGAAGTACTTCCTGCCATTCATCCTGAATCTTGGTTCCCTGAGCTTTGCTCCCCTGGAACCCGTCCTGCCCTCCAGTGCAGGGGGAAAATGAGCAGAGTTGCACCAGCAAAGTTGGATGCGGCCACTCGTCTGGTCACAAGCTGTTGTGTTTCCACACAGGAGCTCTAAGACAATTGCAAAACCTATCCTGCCCATTGGGACCCCTCATGTTGCACCTGTGAAGATTCTTCCTTTAGCATCACACGTACACACATGTATGTGACTTCATTTATGACACAAAGTCTTCTGGTCTTTCCCCTCCTTTCCCCACACAATCAGCAACATTACTGGCTCATGGTGGAATCCAGGGACCAGATGGAATGTGTCGCTTTTCTTGCTGCTGCAAGCTGGAGATGTATTCAGGATCCAAGAGAGATGCCTCGGCTCCTTTTGCTGTTCTCCTTCCCTCCCCCATCCTCTCACATGAACTGAAAACCCGAAGCACCATAAAGAGGTGCTAAAAGGCCAGAATCCAACACCAGCTATTCCTGGGAGGTGGGAAGGCAGAGAGGGTGGCCACTAAGCACCCCCTTAGGAACCAGCGCAGGATTTGCCAGGATGGTAAAGCTACAGGAAAAGCCCTGCTTAAAAGGACGGTCGATCTTTCATAATATTTAGTACCTGCAATTGCCCAAAAGCCATAAAGAACTTACGAGATGGCCTGCTGGGTCGTATCTTGGACTATAATTCCCATAATGGAGATGACCTATAAAGCCCTAAACGGCTTGGGTCCTGGTTACCTGAAGGAGCGCTTACGTCCATATATGCCCGGCCGCCCCCTGAGATCAGCGGGAGAGGCCCTCCTCCGGGAGCCCTCCGTGAAGGAAATTAGGAGGGTGGTTACTCGGAGGAGGGCTTTCTCAGCGGTGGCGCCTAGGTTATGGAATGCGCTCCCCAGAGAGGTCCGCCTGGCGCCGTCGTTATTTGTTTTTCGGCGCCAGGCCAAGACCTTTTTATTTAAGCAGCATTTTTACTGTTAGTATTACTTGATTTTATCTGGCCAGGGTGGCTTATTTTATATTGTATTTTTGGATTTTTAATGTTTATATTTATTGTAATTTATATTATTATTACTTTTATTTATTGTTGTAAGCCGCCCCAAGGCTTCGGCGAATGGGGCGGCATAAAAATGTTTTCATACATAAATAAATAAATAAAATAATCCTTTGACACTAGCCAACCAGGTGCCTCCGGGAAGCCCAAGCAGGAGGGCATCAGGGCAATCATCCAGCATTCTCCAAATCTTGGACTACATCTAGGGATGGGCGAGGAACCCGTCTTCTGCAGAAAATCTGCTGGCTTCCCTGGTTTTGGCTTCCTGAACTCTCCTCTGCTTTGCCGTGGCCCAGAGTCCAGGTTTTAGGCAAGCACAGTCAGGGTTCACTCCTGCTAGGAATCGAGCCCCACAGGCGGCAGAAAGAGCAAGATCCTGCCACGTCCGTGGCTACTGCCAACGGCAGGAAGCGGGAAGGAGTTTGGCCACCAGGAATGCACAGGTTGCCAGTCGGGCAACCAAGAGGCCATGAGCTTCCTCAGGCCGCCGCTTGGCTCAGCTTGCTCTGCGGGATCAGGTTGAGCCCAAGAGGTAGTCTGCAGACTCTGGAGGAACAAATTCCCAAAGGGTTCATCCCGACCTACAACTAACTACAACCCCCATCCTGAGCCGGCATGGCTGATTTGGACAAGCAGTGAGGAAGAGCAGGACAGGGACACCTCACCTGATCAGACCTCTGGCTGGGTTCACACACCACTACAGGTTCCCACAGTTTGATTACCCAACAGACGATCAAGTGGTTTACATGCTGTTGTGGTTTCCATTATCCCTGCTTAGTTCTCGGGCTGTTCATCCGCATCACACCTGAACCTCAAGCCCAAGGGGCAGCGCTCTCTGGCTCCGTCACCTGCTTCCCCCTCACTGGCCTGCAGGTAGAGGCTGGATGGCTGGAGCGGCTCATGAAGCTGTTGCTCTTTCCAGGCGGCTCTGCGGTCGTTTCATGCCAGGACTGCGGACACCAGCAGTACTGACAGAAGGCAAAGGCTGTAAACCCAGTCAAGATTATATGAATTTCCGGAGGGGATATGGGTATAATTGAAGTATATATTATTAATTGTTACAGTATGTTAATGGTGGTAGTGTTGGTCTCCGGGGTGGGGGGTGCACGCCATCATTTATTCTTTTCTTAATTATTGTATTCTGGTTATGTTTTATTTTGCTGTTGTAAAGTTTTGTATTTATGGTTTTTTTCCTTAAAAACAGGGGTGGGGGAGGACTGTGGAAACCACAATGCTGGGTTCGGACAGCACAGCAAACTAGAAAAACCATAGAGCAAACATTTGTTTCTGTTTGTGGTTTCTGAAAACCAGACCGACCACGACGAAATACCACGATTGGGTTTGGACGACGTGACAACGGCTGGCAATGGTGAAAAACCACTGGAGTTTGCCATGTTGTTTGGACCAAGCCTCTTTTTCTGCCCAACCTTTCAGGATGGAAGGTGGGATCCAGTGATTCCCACAAAGGACCACTGTGGGGGTGTGGGTGGAAAAGGAAGCCAAGAAAAGCCCTGTTGGAAAGCACCTGGCCACAGGGCCAAGCCGTCAGGAATAAGAAAAAAATCCATCACCCTTCGAATCTTTGAAATGCTTTTCCTCCCAGGGCGTCATCCAGAAGATGCGTTCGACTCTTACCAAACTGTCACCCTTTCAGATGTCAGATTGTTTTAAAAAACGACTTTGTCTTTGCAAACAAAACCAGGTATGTGAAGAGCAACTTACCTTATCCTTCAGCTTCTCCATCCAGCTTCTCACTGGAAAACCAACAACAGAAAAGTTTGTTGCAATTTCAAGCCTTGGAACCAGGTTTTCCTCTGCAAGGCCCGTAACAAGCAATTGTACCCTCCCGGATGGAGAAATAAGCTGCAGGGACTCGATTCACCCAGGTTGGGCAGCAGGAGGAGTTGCAATATTCTGCCCATATTCTGTGAGCTCGGCGAGGGCGCGCCTTGCTGTGGCTAACGAGCCACCCAGAGCTGGCGGGCTTTTTTAGGGCTATGCAAGGGCTCATTAACTGCAGCAAGCCCCCCTGCACAGGATCGCACAACACAGCAAGCCATGCCAGCATCAGGAATTGCACCTGTCCCTCTTCATTCATTCATTCATTCATTCATTCATTCATTCATTCATTCAAGACATTTGTATGCCGTCTTTTGTGAGAGTCTCAGGACGGCTTATACGAATAAAATTCCAAAACACATAACAATATAATATTAAAAATAACATAAAAACATTCCACAATGTATCCTCTCTTAATGAATAAAATAGTAAAAAATAAAAATGCGACTGTATACAAATTAGCAATATTAATAAAACACTATTACTTGTTAAAACGAAGGTTAAATAGAAAGGGCTTTACCTGGGCCCGAAAAGAGTAGAGGGTTGGCACCAGGCAGACCCGTCTGGGGAGCATGTTCCATAGTCTGGGTGCCACCGCAGAGAAGGCCCTCCTCCGCGTGGAGACCCTCCGTACCGCCCTCAAAGAGGGTTCCCGGAGTGAGGCCTCCCCTGCCGATCTTAAGGGGCGTGAGGGCATATAGGGAAAGAGACGTTCCTTCAGGTATCTGGGGCCCAAGCCATTTAGGGCTTTATAGGTCAGTACCAGCACCTCTCCCTTTATTATTATTATTATTATAACATTTCTATGCCGCCCCTTGCTGAAGCCTCGGGGCGGCTTACAACACAATAAAATACATTGAAATACAATAGAACATAATAAATTACCATTAAATACAAAAATACAAAAAATACACTGAGTTACGAACATAATAATATAATGTGTATCTTTAGCGTGTGTATCAGGGAGCATGTGCGACTCAGCTTGTTTCCCCTGACACGATCGTGCAAATTGGGTTACTGCGTAAGCATGGCGGGATTCCGACAACCGCTCGATGCACAGAATGGGCGCTTCACCCCTGGGGCCAATGGAGCCGGGGACATGCGTACAGCACATGACAATCGTGTGAATGCGGGCATGGCTGCAGATGGGTGCCAGGCACATGGGCAGGGGGGGGGGCAGCTCCATTACCCCTCTGCATGCTCTTTGAATGGCTCAGGGGTGCAGGGGGGGATTGCTTTTGGCCCATTTGCATGCTGGGACACATCCTGATGTGCAAGACAGACATGCCTCCCCCTGTGTTTGAAAAGATGGCCCTTGCAAGGGCTGGAGCCGGTGCCGTCATGTGCCAAAGCTCTCCAAAGCTCTTCCCTGCACCGCTCAGTCCAGCCCTAAAGAGGCGGGTCCGTGCGATCCCAGCCCGTCGCCCGTTTGCTTTAGTTCGGCCTTGCCTTGACTCCTGTCTGCTCCCAGCTCCACTCTTCCCTCCAGCCTCGACAGGCACTGGATCCTTCAGCTCCACCGTGCCTCGCAAGGCGTCTGCCCCCCTTTCCTCCAGACTCGGTCTTTGCTTCCGCTCCAGTTCTGCTTTGACACATCTTGCCCTGGTCTGATCCTTTCCGTGCCTGGACTTCTGGCCCCAGCGCATCCGTTCAGGAGTCTCCACCCACCTCCATCATCCCTGGCCCTCATGCTGCAGCCATGACACCCACTGCTGCCCACGTTCCGGACCTGACATGGTGCTGAGCCATCCCTACAGCCTTCCTGCGAAAACGACGACTCTCCTGCTCTCCCGCTCACAGTCAGTGCAGAACAAATTCTGCAGGCTGGTCTCTGGAGGGCAGGGAAGAGAGGAGACTGCAGAGGCCAATGGACAATTTATCCTGAGGCCTCCCCGCCTCTTTCCCTCCCACTCTGGAAGTGCTGCAGCTAGCAAAAATGCCTGCTCAGCAAAGACGCATGGTGGGAAGCTTAGATCACCTCCATGGCTCCTCCCACCTTACACAGGATGACAGAAAATCTTCTGGTCTGAGGACTTGCAGTCACTGGAACGGGGGGGGGCACTCTGCTTCCGCGGTGGCTGTTCCAGAGAATGCTTGGTGTGCGTGAACAGAAAAAGCCGACTATTTCATAAACATAGTACAAACATGGATGGCATGGTCTCTAAATCAAGACCAGTCCAGGTCTAGGCTGCCCATCCTCTCACCGAGCATGGCCAAGTGACCTACTTTACAGAGGACTGTCCCGTTTGAAGCAACCTTCTTCTAGATAATCTGCCCAGTCCAAGTCCAGTTTGGAGTCCAAGAACAACAAGGCAGGAGTGTCCACGGGCCATGAACCTGCCCCTTTCCAGGGATCACCTGGTCACCAGGTGGAGCAGGTACACGCCTTCCCACTATGGTGTGATGCACTGGATTTCTGCCTCACTAATAGCTATTATTTCTAATTTTTCACCCTTAGTTATAATGAGTGCTTACAAGCTGCAGCCAGATCTACATCCCCTTTTGGTGAAGCACAAAGTGGCCACCCCATTGGCACAATTTCCTGTTGGCATTTATAAAAATCAGAGCTATTTTCAAGAGATCAAAGGGATCAGACTGCGGGAGGCTCTCTCGTTAAACCAGCCGGTGATCAAAGATGTGGCACAGAAGGAGAGAAAGTGCCTTCCTGCAGAGTTCGGCGGGGAACCTCGGTCACGCTATGCCCGTGCAGATAAGAATCGGGGAACGAAGTGCTTCCACCCAGCGGTGATGCTCATATGATAATGATAAAAACAGAGTATCTGAGATGCGTTTCCCTCCTGGACTGGTGCTTGAAAGACCATCTGCGTGACTGACGGGTAGAAAATGGGGTGGACAGCCTATGGCAAAGTGCCCTTCACCCGCGTGACACCCACAACCATGCCGTAACCTCCAAAGGTGTCTCGCACGAGGTGGGCCACATTTTTAGCATGGGCTGGAGAATTCACAGGAAAGGCCTCGTCCTGAGAGAGACAGGAAAGAGACGCCACGTCCCCATGGCTGTTCCCTGCCACTTTGTGGGGATCGGGGCCCAGGGCTCCTTCGCCTTTAGAAGGCAGAAATGCTTCCGGCGAAGCATTGCCCCCAGCCTGTGCGGGGTAAAGTGGCACCTGCTGGATGGAGTGACCAGTTCTTCTCCCCCTAGTGGGTGAGGAGGAGGATGCTGAGACAGAGGGGATGAAGGGGGTGTTGGAAGGAGAGAAGGAAGCCGCCCCGAGGCTTCGGCGAATGGGGCGGCCTAGAAATTTTCTAAACAAATCAAATAAATAAATAAAGGAAGGGAAAAGCAGTGGCCCAGACCACTATGCATGCGCGCTCAGATGAGATTAGAAACATAGAAACAGAGCGAGTCAGAAGGGGTCTCCAAGGCCATCTAGTCTGACCCCTGGCACCAGCCGGCTCCGCTCACAACTCCCAGGCATGCACGAGAGATGGAGGGCTTTGGTGGGAGTGGCGGCTCAGACTCGGAGGGCGAGTGGGGGGCTGGCCCAGCCGTGGCTCAGAGTTCTCACTCTGATGTTGGAGCTGTGGAGACGAGCGAGGCCCCGGCTGCTCAAACTCTCCCGGTGAGCCGGCCGAGCCAGCGCTGGATCCAAGCACTTTGAGGACAACCACTGACTCCCCTCCTACTCCTGGTGGTGGGAAAGAAGCCGTGGGGAGCATTCTGGGGAGGGGCTCTGGGGGGGAGAGCTTGACACCCCAGGAGACGTGGATGCAAGGGCCCCTCGATGCACCCGCCGGCTGGACCAATTAGGGGCTCAGTGGGAAGAGCGTTGGCGGGCCCGCTTCCACAGGGCACCCGCCTCCAGAGACCGGCCCCGAAGGGTTCGTAAGCAAAGTTTTGGGTAAAGGGGGGCAGAGCAAGGGGTCAGCATTCCACCTGGTGCGTGTTTTGAGGCTTGTGAATACGTTGGCTTCTGTATGGAACAGACTCTTCTTGTAATTGCTGAGTTGCTTCTCTTGTTTGGGAGGGGACGCCTAGCTCACGACACACGGGTTGGAGAACTCATAGGAATGGCCTCAGCCTGAGAGAAATCAAAAAGAGACGCCACGTCCCCGTGGCTGTTCCCTGCCACTTTGTGGGGATTGGGGCCCAGGGCTCCTTCGCCTTTAGAAGGCAGAAATGCTTCCGGCGAAGCACTGCCCCCAACATGTAAGGGGTGAAGCAGCGCCTGCTGGGCTGAGTGAGCACCGCTACAAGCAGTTCTTCTCGGCCTTCGACTGGAGGAGGAAGATGCTGGGACAGAGGAGATGAAGGGGATGTTGGAAGGCGAGAAGGAAGAGAAAAGCAGTGGTGCTGGCCCCATCCATTGCTGAGTTCAGCCCCCTCCACTATCCGCCAGTGGCCCCAGAAGATTACCTTCAAAGCAGGGATGGGGAACTGGTGGCCCTCTTGATGGTATTAAGACACAGCCCCCAGCATTCCTAGCCAAGGGGCCTGCTGGCAGGGCTAATGGGAACTGGCCGTCCAAAGACAACATGGAGGAGTGTATCCCTGGCAGAAAAAAGCCCCTGGAAATCTTTCAGCCCTATCCTGAAGACACCAGGACCCAGGCAGAAACCTGGGAGTGGTCGATCCGAGAGCTTCAGCTCCCACCCAGACCTGCACCGAGTCTTCTTCCGAGCTGCAGTTCATGCCACCGTTAGCCTGCAAATGAGCACACGGCTGCACAGCCTCGTTGCCTCCTTATCTGCTCCGTAAATTGCGGCACGGCTTCCTGCTAGCAGGATCCTCGGGGGCCTGTTGTTCTGACCCCCTTCTTAAGCAACCTGTCAGTTTGCTTCTGCGTCGGCATCTCCCGGCCTCCCTGTACTGTTCATCTGAGAAATCTAGAGAAGAGTAATTTTCCCTCAGCCTCCTGTACTGTCAACTCTTCATATTGCTAATTGCCTAATT